ACCCATCATTTTATTATAAAAACTTAAAATATCTTATACCTTCCTTTAATTTTAATATATATTATTTTCTTAACCATTGCAATTTCTACATTTATTTCATGTAATGAGATAATTTTGATAAAACTGGAAATAATTTTTTTAGATAAATTCGACTAAAAGTAAATAATGAAGAACCTACATAGCAATTGTTGAATCTGTGTAAAAAGAAAAAAAAAGAAGAAGAGAATATGATTGACCTTCAGCAGTGGGGAGTTTGTGTATATTAGACATGAAAAGGCAATATTTATCCAAACAAAATATATATATTTCATATAATACATATAATAAAGCCATTTCTCTTTGCATCGGGTAGTAAAGAATAGTAAATTAATCAAATTCAATTAACAATAGAGTTAATATTTGAGCTTATAACGAGTTGGGTATACCTTTCATATAAAATGTTCTAAATTATTTGATTGATTCACTCTCCTCAATATATATCATTCACTCAATATGTATTTATCTAACGTGAGGTTACTCACTCCCCTCAAGTGGCCGGCAATTAGGCCACTTGACAAGCATAAAATGACTCATTATGGGTCCATCGGGGTATAACCCATACGAGAACTTCTCTCATGCAAATTCAGATCTCAAACTCTAATATTAGGTAAAGAATTTAGACTGTAGGAGTAAATTAATTAAATTCAATTAACAATATATTTAATGTCTGAACTTATAATGAGTTGTACTTAATTTTCAAGCAAAATGACCTAAGTCATTTCGATTGATTTATCCTCTATCATTTATTCTATGTATATTTATCCAGTATGAGATTACACTCACGTTATGGGTGCCATATTTTATTATAGTGTTCTATAGAGAGTTCTTTAGATATATGTCAATGGCGCGCATTTTAATATTTTTATAAAAAATTAAGAGAAAGATTAAATAGTTTAATGGATGACAATTTTCAAACGGAAACATAAAATAGTTTGATGATTTTAATGTGTTTATCAAAAAAAATTTAGCTTTTGAACTTTGTAATTTTATAACGTGCAATTTTTTTTTATTCTTGGACTCAAGACATTAAATTATGTGACACTAGAGTGAGAATTTATTGGTTTCTGAAACAATCGTTATGCGATGGGACCATATATATAATTCAGTTAGTACTATAATTATACTATTTTATATTATACACCAAACAATTTAACAATGAAGCCAGCACATATATTCCTGATTTCTTTGAAAAATTCCATAAGAATAAATAGTGACAAACTGACTTTTGAGATTCAAAATTTTTTGGTTTGAATAATACTTATAATTTTTATTCTATCAATCAATAATTTTATTACTATAGCATGTACTATATAAATAAAAAAAAACAAATTAGTATTATTCCATTTACCGCGAACCAGACATTAAAGCTCAGACCTTATAGAAAAAGTTCGCGTAAAATGCAATTGATATTTTATTATTTCTAATAGCTTTTATTTAATAATAAATTAAGAGTGATGATATTTTCTCAGCCAAATATTTTTATTTAGATAAATTTGCCCTTTTCACCAATCTCTTCATACATTGAAAGGTTTACACATTTTCATCCAATTATTGCTTCTTATTGAGTCAATTAACTCCCTTTTTATAACATCGATCCGTCAAAGAAGCTTAAAATTCAATAAGATGAATTTAAGTTTGAAGGTTTCATCGAACACGGCAAAAGAATGCGTAACAATTTGGTAGAGGGTAATTATGTCTTTAAAAAAATTAATCTGACAGTAACAATATTTGCTCTGCTCTATATTAAATGGCAGAATATGTTTGGCTAAAGTGAGTAACCAGCAAAGCATATTGGACTCTTGGTGCTTGCCATGTTTTTGTACCAGTATTTGTCGGCCAGACACCCTGGCTACTTATAAACATCAACGAACTATTAAGCTGTTCAGTTTTTTTTCAGAACTATGTCAAAATATATTAGACTGTATTTCCGGAACTATTTGTAGAGCGTTTATTGGATTAAAATTGTGTCGGATCTTAAAAAAATTATTGAGTTTGACAGAATTGAAGAATTTTTTAAGATTTCCATAAATTCCATTAGAATTCTATTGTTTTATGAAACTAGAATTCTATTGTTTTATGAAATTAGTGGGACATTTTTTATAAATTTTGGTTAACTTTGATAGAATCACAATAATTTTTACATATCCAATCAAAATTAATTTCAAGACCTAATTGAACAAATTAAAAAGTTTTAGAGTCGAATGAAAAATTGAAAAACAATGAAATTAAAAGGCAAAATGCGTCATCTTCTCTAAAATCATTGTTTTCTTCGTTAAAAACTTATCGCTACCAACAGTGAAAGCCCTACATTGGCTATCGTCGGCGACCATCCTGCTCCTGTTAATTGCTATATTAAACGGGTTTGATAGGGTATCCTATTCATTATTAGTAAAAAATGTATTAAAATAAGTTCAAAATTTAGATAGTTAAAAATTCATAGGTACCCTGTCCGTTTAAAAAGTACTTTCAACGGGTTTTTAGATGGGTATAAGTAGTAAATATTTAAATAAGTTCGAATATGGGTATCTAAATAGGTATTTAAACGGGTTTAGAATTGATACAGATAATAAAATTTTGAACAGATACCTATACAGGTAATTTAAAATTCAGGGATATCCGCTCCGCTTTCGTTCTATTAAAGGATGTATTGGTTAAAGAGTTTGTTGGATTTTAAAAAATTTTTGAAATCTTTGGATTGGAGGATGTATTTGTAAGTGACTCTTTTATTCATATATAATACCCTAAAATTTAACAAAATCAATAATTTTATAGAATCCTTCCAAATCAGCAATTTTTTGAATACCATAAAATTTGTATAGACTTTTAAAATGTCATAATTAAATATCATCAGATTTTTATAGATTTTATAAGAGTCTGAATTGAATACCACAAAATTTTACTAGACTCTAAAGAAATCTAAATTGGATACCATTGGAAATTTAAAATCTAACAGATTCTTAACCCAATACACCCTCCTTAGAATGTCTTCCCGATGACTTTTTAAGTAGTTTTTAGCATTTTAATTAGTTAAAATTTAATCAAAATGCTAAAAGCTATTTTTTTTATAGTATTACAGTAACATAACGTTTGAAGTAAGTTTTAGAGATTAAGCTAACATTTTATAAAGTTACCGTTTAGTTTTTAGCGATATATGAAAAGCTACTAAAATACTATTAGCATCCAATCATGTATAATCTTATTGATTTTCTCACTTATACGAAAAATGAAAAGTCTTTAGTTCGAGTACTTTCGACCACAAATAATGACCACAAGTGCTTTCATTAATCCTATTTTGCATTTAGCTTAGACTTAGTTATCTAAAATAGGTGGTCGATAACTATTTTGGTAACTTTATAATTATTTTCACTATATAATATCTGTTTATTATTTTTAAATAATTATAAATAAAATGGTTATATAAAAATATTAATTTGAAAAACTATCATAATTATTCTTGTAAAACTAATATAATTCAAATATATAATATAAAATACAAAACAATTGAATGAAAGTAATGCATATAAGGATGGTAAGCCTTGTACTAGTAAAATGTGTACGGATGGTAAGGCTTATACTAGTAAAACCTATTATGGACTTGAAAATTAGACCTGGTGCCACAAACAAAACCGGCCCAAAAATTTATCACAAAAACTCAGTTGACACTTTATCTATAAATAATAAAAAATAATTTATTGACCTTCCAAAATTGATAATTTAATAAAGTAATTTTTGTTGGCACACGCTATCTTCAGATGGGTTTCTACGGAAGGAATATCCAAATACTTATTGCACATAAAGGAATATCCAATTAAGGCGCAATGAAATACCTTACAAGTGAATGTGGGAATTAAGAAGGGCAGACGCGAATATCCAATTAAGACAACAAATGATACGCATTCCCCAAATGACTAAAGTTAGGACCTCAGACTAAAAATTTTAGGTTCAAATTTTAATGTCCTTGACACGCTTTGATATATCCGTGTGCCCCAAAAATTTATCACAAAACTCAGTGACCCACTTTTCTATTAAAATATTAAAAAAAATAATTTATTGACCTTCCAAAATTGATAATATTAATAAAGTAATTTGTTGCACACGCTATCTTTCAGATGGGGGGTTCTTAACGGAAGGAATATCCAATACTTATTGCACATTAATAGGAATATCCAATTTAAGGGCGCAATGAAAAATACCTTACCAAGTGAATGGTGGGAAATTAAGAAGGGCAACGCGGAATAATCCAATTAAGACAACAAATGATACGCATTCCCAAATGAACTAAAAGTTAGACCTCAGACTAAAAAAATTTTTAGGTCAAATTTTTAATGTCCATTGACACGCTTTGCATTAATATATTATATATAATATATATATATTATATATATATATAATAGTATGCTTTGAAATTTGTAAACTTTGTAATGTGTAAGTTTGATTAAATGCATAATGGCAAATATTCCTTATACATAGTATCTAACTAATGCGGCCAAAATGCAAAAAAAAAAAAAAAAAAAAAAAAAAAAAAAAAAAAACCTGAAAAAAAAAAAAAAAAAAAAAAAAAAAAAAAAAAAACTGATCTGGATTCGCCTCTACCTATAAATCAAAGCAATTAAAAAAATTTTTTATCGAAATGATGATATTTTATAAAATAAGAAATTTTTAAAAAGATTATTAATTTCATTAGTTTTATCTACAAGTGAAAGAGTGAGGTATAATCAAAACATTATAGTTAATAGTTTTTAAGTTATGGACAAAATTTAAGAGGGTGGAGTGGCCCAGACCCTGTCTCAAGAAATTTTTTCTTTTTCAAAATTACTTTATAAATTTATACAAAAATATTTTTCTCTAATTTTGATTTTTTTTTTTTTTGTTCGCCCTAATTATGAATCCTGGCTTTCCCAGTGTGACCAATGTAGTGTATATGGGGACCTCATAACAAGAGTAACCACTGTATAACCCACATAGACCCCAGACCAAAAGTGCCCAAATAAATGGGATATCTGGACAAATTAAAAACTTTAAGCAAAATTAAATTATATAGGTTCCAGGAGGTCAAAGTTGTTACTGCTTCTTTTGGCTCTCTGTTGATACCTCACTTACCTGCCTGTTAGCTTCAAAGGGTCAAAACACATACAGAAAGGAAATCAAACAATCATTCTAAGATTCGGTCAGGTGAGTGATGTTCAAAAATCTTTCATTTCCTTCTTTTGGGGATTTGAATCTTGCCATGTCTGAAATCTTGAAATATGCCACCTAGATCTATATATCTATCTGTTTTTCTTTTCTTTTTTTCTTTCTTTTCCCTATTAACTCAGGGATGGTTTCAAGAACAGTAGTTTTTTCAATGATTGGTCTTCTAGGAATGGTTTATCAAGCTACGGAGCTTCCGCCACCACCAGTAGAGAAGGATAATCCTCCTGATTCATCATCAAGAATCAGACTCCGTGATGGAAGACATTTGGCTTACATAGAGAGAGGAGTTCCCAAGGACAAATCTAAGTACCAGATTGTCATTGTTCATGGATTTGGAAGTTCAAAAGAAATGAACTTTCTAGCTCCTCAAGTACAAATATTCATCTCTTTTCTCTACACTTGTTTATATTGATATGAAATTGTAGACATTTCGTTTATTGGGTAAACAATCTGGAGTTGAATTTGAAATTTAAAAAAGATGCAGATTTCTCAAAGACTGTGCATGTTTACCATATTGTAGGTTTAGTACAGGGCATCCGCAGTTCTCTTGGGGGAGCTAAAGTCCTTCCACCCTCAACACTCGACAAAGAAAAAAAAAAAAAAAAAAAAAAAAAAAAAAAAAAAACATATACAAACTTCTAGTTAGTCGAAAGGCTTGGAAAACTTCTAGTTATTGAAACGGGTAAAGAAACATTTTATAATGGTTGATTAAAAAAAAAAAAAAAAAAAAAAAAAAAAAACATATACAAACTTTCTAGTTAGCGAAAGGCTGGAAAAACTTTCTAGTTATGAAACGGGTAAAGAACATATAGGTGATGCTTGATTACAATTTTCAATCTGTTAGTATATGTTTGTTCCAGTTATTGTGAAATGGATCTGTAGAAAAGCTCGGGAAGTGATTTGGATTGCATAAGCACATTTTGGGTTGTTCTGTACCAACTTATGCTTCTAAGATCCTTGATTTTTTTTTTTTTTTTATCTAGTTATGATGATACTCCTTTTTGTCAATAGAGAACTAACTAGTGGTTTAAAATTGTAAATGTATGAATAAAGTGAATTTCACATTACTTTAGTTTTTAGGAACTGATAGAGGAGTTGGGGATATATTTTCTGCTGTACGATCGAGCTGGATATGGAGAAAGTGATCCGAACCCAAAACGAACTGTAAAGGGTGAAGCACTTGATATTCAAGAACTTGCTGATCAGTTGCAGATAGGATCAAAATTTTATGTAATAGGAGTCTCAATGGGATCATACCCCACATGGAGTTGCCTCAAACACATACCACACAGGCAAAAATCAGCTATCTTACATTCTTTTTGCTTGAATTGAATAGTCAAAAAATTAGGGTACTTACCTTAAAAAATATTTGCGCAGGCTTGCAGGTGTAGCACTAATAGTGCCGGTTATCAATTATAGATGGGCTTCTCTTCCTCGAAATTTGATAAGAGATGACTACAGGAGAAAGCTTATCCGATGGTCACTTTGGTTTTCAAACTATGCTCCTGGACTATTACACTGGTTTGTTACTCAGCAATGGCTACCTTCAACTACTGTGCTGGAAAAAAACCCACTTTTCTTTAGCACTCAAGACATTGAAATCTTGAAGAAAATACCAGGATTCCCAATGTTAAGCCAGGTAACAAAACTTGCTCTATATGCATGAGAAGACAAAATTTGTTAAATATTTTTAAAGCAGAGGCCACAAATTAGCATAACAAGTATGATAGTTTGTGTTTCCACTAATACAGGAAAGATTACGACAACGAGATGTTTTTGATACACTTCGTGGTGATTTTATGGCAAGTTTTGGAGATTGGGACTTTGATCCTATTCAGCTAAGAAATCCATTTCCTTCAAATGAAAGTTCTGTTCATATCTGGCAAGGTTATGAGGATAAGGTTGTACCATTTCAACTTCAAAGATATATTTCAGGAAAGTTACCATGGATTCGATATCATGAAGTTCCTAATGGTGGGCACCTAATTGTGCATTACAATGGTTTATGTGAGGCTGTTTTGAAGGCACTTTTACTTGGAGAAGAACCTCTTAAATTAGAACAGGTGCATCCATGATTGCTACTTAATTAGTGACATGATTTCATTATTCAAAATGTTTTTCATGTAATTAGGTTGATTTTTTTAAGGGTGTATACTAGCTCCATTTGAAAGGTTGAAGTGGATATGATTCTTTCTCTTGTGTGTTCATGCATTTATATAGAAACTTTACCTTGAATCACATGTAAGCATAAATTCCCATGTAAATGAAAAGGCTCGTTGGAATTGTATAGTCATTTTAACAATTGAAAAGGCTGGCTTACTGCTAAATTTTATTACTCAGTTTCAGAACTGGATTTATTGTGTTGATCAAATCAGCATATGCTTACTACAAAGATTGAAAAACAAAAAGGCCCTTCTCAGGAATTGCAGCAACTATAATCTATTATTAATAGATATACTTAGGAGCATTAACAATAGGGCACTTGTCGGTACTCAATCAGAAAATTTTAATCTTGGAGCACATAAACTTTTCAAAGAAATGACCTTTCAATGTCATATACACAATGAAAGCAAACATGAAAGGCAAATATGACCTTTAAGGAATTGCTTGCTTTGATTTTCATAAGCCTCATAATTTTGTCCGTTAAACAGGCTCTTAAGGAGAAGGGGTGTGCTTGGTCTTATGAGGCTCAAGCCCACTTCAGTTCTAATGAATATGTTAATTAGACATCATCAACGCATAATATGTTACTCCATTAATAGGAATGAAGGAAAATTGCATACTCATCTGGGTGTCTTTGTATTTTCATGATTTCAGTGCATAAATCCCAAATATAATGCAGCAAGTAAACTTTGTTGCACAACACAAATTTTGAAAAGTAGAAAAACTATAATGCTTAGTTTTGTAGGTAACTGACGACGTATAACATGGAGATCAGTGTCCATAAAATTTCGGAAACAGATAGCTATGTGTCTTATTTGCAGAAATTTTGATGAACTGAGAAACAGTGTATTCTTGAAAGAAAGGGTAATCCAGTCTCACCAACCTATCAAAAAATACAAGTTCTCATAAGCTTTAGCAACAGGGAAAAAAATGAATAAAAAAAAAAAAAAAAAAAAAAAAATCATACTTTTGCAACAGGGAAAAAAAATGAATAAAAAAAAAAAAAAAAAAAAAAAAAAAACAAAAACAAAATAAGGCATTTTTTGCTTTAAAAAAAAAAAAAAAAAAAAAAAACAAAACAAAATAAGATTTTTGCTTTAATCAATTTCAAATGTACTAACACTGCTCGCCAAGTATAACGAAGGACCTGCAAGATAGGTTGCCATGATTCTGGGCATCCTCAACTATTAAAGACATAAAATTAAATGTATTACGGCAATTTGGAACTATTTTCTAACAGCCCCACAGAGTCATGTGCCTGGTTTAGGCATTTTGTCAAGTATTTCGCAGACCATATTTATGTGCTCAAATACAATGAATCGCATACCAGAGACAATTTTGACGACGATATCAAGTTGACTCAAATGCAATATTTCTTTTTGGTACATAAACACAAGTTAAACCTTCACTTCCTGCCTTAAGAGGCAAAAATTCTGTTATACTGAACCATATATATGTGCGTGTCTGTGTGTAGGAAATTTTGCCTGTCTCGTTCTGAAATCTAATTGAAATTACTAGTAAAGAGTGATCCAGTGCACGAGCTGGAGAGGATCGTATGTCTTCCTTCTGCTTTTGCAAAGAGACTAACTGAAATTACAATGTTAAATAAAAATACTTGTATAGAAAAAAGAGAAATATGGAAGAGAAAAGTGTGTGTTTGGTGTGTCCATTTGGAAAGTGAAAGAGGTGGTTGTTATTATTGAATATCTGCATGTGTGCAAAGTGTCAAGTCCATGTCAAGGACAGTAATTGCATAAAGAAGCAACTTTGGAAGACACAATTCATTATATACAAAAAAAACAACATATTTTATATATGGGGAAAGGAAGGACTCTGATTGTTTTTTAATCATTCATACATATATTGAGGCAATTTCAAGAAAGAAAAATCATCCCAATTCAATTTTATATAAAAGAACTTAAAACTCGAACCTCTAGTTTTGATGCTTCGAAAAGAATGATGTCGCTTACATACAGAGGAAACAGAGGGTCTGTCCAAGTTCTTTTTTTCTGTTTTTTTCGGTATATTATACGAGTCTTATGAAAACATAAAGATTTGCTCACAGCAGGGCTGTGCATGGTTAGTGGGACCCAAACCGAATTCAGGAACCATACTAAACCACATTGGAACAAAAAAAGAACCGAGGTAATAGGAGACAAACCTTATTAAATCAAATGCAATTTATTATTTTGGTTCCGATTTTTATACAGAATCATACTGAAATCGCACCAAAACCGTATCAAAGCCGAACTTAGTATAAATTAATAATACAAACGGAGTATAAATTAAAACTATTTATCCCATATAAAAAATTAATATCTAATGATTCTCGTCATCTCTTATTGCATATAATATTATAACAATATGATAATTCATATACGTTTATATAGTATTTTACTATATCTACAATTTAAATAAAAAAATATTTTTTTAAGATAATTTTTATCTATAAAAACTCTTAGTTTACTACCATGTTTATCGTGTGACAATGAAAGTTCCATCACTTTGAAGATTTCGTATAACTTAAATTTTCTCTGTTGATAATAAAAATAAAACTTCATTATTCAATTGTTAGTCATGATTTGTTGATATTTGTAATGTTCATGTTATTAGTTTGAAGATTGCTTAGGACTTCAAAGATGATGGGAGCTTCTTTTTACGATGCATAAAAATAAAACTTCATTATTGAACATTATTTTTTAATGTATATCCTAGTATTGTATGGTTCTTTTTTTTCTTTTTTAATTAGCATATATTGTAATTTTATTTTGATATTAAAATATTTTTTATATAAAGGAACCTCGTAACATGTGTTAAAAATATAATATTTTTAATGGGGATCAGAACTAAAATCGAAACCAAAAAATTGAAGAACCATGTTAAAACGTACCGAAAATTTGATTCAGTTCGGTTTAAGTTCTTTAGTCGTTTGGTTCCGATTCCAGTTCCTAAAAATGAAAGAGCTAAATTTTTAGTTTGGTTCTAGTTCTTCTTTAAGAACCATACCGAAACCAAATTTGCCACGGCCCTAGTTCACAGGTGCATTCAGTTCATAACAGTCTTTTTCGTAAGTGTATAAAATCGCAACAAGTAATAAATAATGAGTAGAGTATCATCCCACGAAGATTGTATATAAAGTACCAAAATTGTGTTAACCTACTATTATTTAAACGACAATAAGGAGAATTATATTAAGAAATTAAATTAAAATAAAAGAGAATATTTAGAAATCAAGAAGACAATTTGATGAAAAGAAATCAAGAATTAAAAGCTACTAGGGATTTTGATTTCACTTGACTCTATTCAATTTAATTTATTAGTTTGATAATCAATTTTAATTATTCAAGTAGGGAAAACAATTCTAAAATCACTAACAAGCTCTCCCGATATATTGTTAATTATTTTAACCCAGTTTAATTACTTATCTTCCAATAATGTAATCAAACATGAATTAAATCATTAAATCTCCCGAATATATTTGTTAATTATTTTTAACCATGTTAATTACTTATCTTTCCAATAATGCTAATTCAAACATGAATTTAAATCATTAATTTATGGTTTGTTTTTTATGAGTTTATACCTAAGTTACGTTTAACTTATGAAAACTTCCCCCATGAGTCAAACCATATAAGCTTCCGCACAACAAGTTATTATTCTCGTATATTTATTATCTTTTATTCATTTTCAAAAAAACCCTTTCTTCCGATTAGGTGATTTAATGAAATAAATTAATCCCATGGAGAAACTCTGTCTGGACATTTAAGTTCAATAATAGATTTTATACTTTGAACAAAGAAAAGCAATCTAATATTATAAAATTGAACCGAAGAAAAGCAAATCTAATATTATAAATTGAAACCGAAATTAAGCTACGTCAAATCCCTAACATGAGAGTTTAGTTCAACATAGTAATTAAATAAAACTCGATTAAACTTATAAATAATCTCATAAAGAATAATAAACAAAAAGTGAGTTTAGAAATAAAAACTAGTCAACGATGGCTTGAGCAGCTTCCTTGAATCTAACCAATCTTGAGCACTGAAAGTCTTAAAGAGAGAAAAGTATGTAGAAACTAATAAATAAGAGATAGAATATACAATGAATGGATTCGACCTCCGATCATGGCTAGTCTCTCTCTTTATATAGACTTTCTGGAATATTTTCGTATTCATTTAGGAAAATAAATCTCTATTGAGTAAGAAATTTTTTGAAGATAGGAAACTGTTAGACTTTGTATTTCTTTCCAAGTAGAACTCTCGCAGCATCTAAATAGGATTTAAATTTGATTGACACGTCAGAAAAGCATCTTATGCAGGTCCATACAAGCGGCATGAGCTAGAGTTGTCGTTTTCGGCCCAATATGAAGTCAAGCATTAAGCACGAGCGTGCTAGGCTCTGAGTCTTTAAGGTGGTTGCAGCACTTGTCATGCTTGGATGAGCACGTTCAGAGATCGACAGCCTTTTGTAGCACGGGCGTGCTCTTTGACATGGCTTGGGCGTGCTAGACTCTGAACCTCTATTGAATTTATTTTGAACACAGCACGAGGGTGCTAGATAACATGCCTAGGGCGTGCCAGCCTTTTTGCTTAGGTACACTCTTTTCTGTATTTTTGATTGTTTTTCTATAAAAATGCAATAAAATTTCTAAGATCAAGTGAAATGTGATTCAAGGAACAAGTGAATGCTTAGGTACACTCTTTTCTGTATTTTTGATTGTTTTTCTATAAAAATGCAATAAAATTTCTAAGATCAAGTGAAATGTGATTCAAGGAAGCTTTTAAAAAAATAAAACTAAATAAAAACTAATTAAAGTAATTAAAAATAATAAAAATCCTAATAAAAACTATATTAAAAAAACTATAAAAATAAAACCTATCAGTTCATTTGGATCGAGCCCAATTAGTTTCTCCAGTCCGACCAAAAGGATTTTATAGTTATTAAAATCGGATTGCATACCGTAATCGCCTAACCTTCAATTTTACTCCAAATTTTTTTTGAATAGTTACAATTTCACTCTACATTGACCTTTATACTCTGGACACTATGAACTTATCAATATAGTTCAATTACACCCTAATTTGATTTATTGTTTAAATACTTGGGTATGGAGTCCATTTTTTAAAATTATTTTAATCA